ACATTGTGTTGTTGGTAACATTCCCATTGTTGAGGATTCTTTAACCAATTCACATGGTCAATATATGAGGATTGTCCCACTTCATCTGGGATTTTCATATCTGAAGATATATCAGTTATCCTATTGTCTAACTGATCATATTATGAGAGGCAACAATCTCATTTCATAGATACTGCATAATCATGCTATTTCAATCACATACTGGAAGAAGTTTACAGTTTTATCATGTGTATCTCCCACTAGGGAAGCAAATTTCTTTATGCCATTAGGAATCTGGTGACAGCTTCTCTGCCCCTGAAAGAATTAACTGTCTCTTTTCATTTCCTCCTTTGCTCTTGTTGTCGTTAGAATCTCTGATTTTCTAACACTGCCTCCTGGTGTGTCATATATTCATTTTTTTACAAAGAAAACTTGTTTTTCAAAAATGATTTTTCAAAAGATCTCTTTTGTTTTTGAAAACTGAAACTCTCAATGTCTGTTTACAATAATGTTCAAGCAACTCTAGGGATTTGTATTAAATCTCTTAGTAAAAGTAATCTTAGATGAAGGTAAGTGATGAGATGACCTTCTGCTTTGGTTTTCAAAGTGTTCAAACGATTGCTTGAATGTGTTTTAAGAGAAAAGGAATAATTGCCTTTTATTTTTAGAAACACTCCTTTTAACAGCATGAATAATAATGAGTAATTATTTGCTACGTCGTGACTCTTTATGAAAAAGTCTCTTATATTTTGAGAACGCTGTTTATTGATCCAAGTTGCTTTCTTCATTAGAAAGGACTTTAAAGGCACGTAATGTATTTTATGGCTCAAGGCTCTAAAAGAAATAGGATTTCATAAGCTCAAAAAAAGTGTTTAAGGGTTTAAAAACTATAGATCACTGTTATCTTATCTTCGTCTTTTCTTTTTCTATCTTGACAACAAAATGATACTAAATATTCCAAATTAGGAATTGTTTTTCTATTTGTTGGGAATTCTCTTAATTATTTAGAATTTTTTTTGTTGAATTCCTTGTTGTCAAACTTCATAAGCTTACATGTCTTCAAGATGATTTCCATTATCATTTCTTTCTTTTTACCCCCAACGTAGGGTGTGATCTTAGTTAAGGTTCTTATGAAAGAAAAAGCTTTAAATAGACTCGGCTCAAATTGGGACTACAAAGGATAATTTTAAAAGAAAGTGAAAGGAATATCAAAGATGGCCTTACCTCATTTCAAGTAAGATCAGTTAAAACCAATAAACTTTGTCCACATCCAGCCTAATGCTTTGGATTTATAAGATACCATGTTTTGCGAATCCATGACAAGCTAATATACTACCAACCATTATTCATGCTAATAAAATGTAGGTCCAAGACAGAATTTGAGTGATAGTTGTTCCAATTGCATGTTTTTGACTTGTATGGTCATCTCTTTCAAGGGAATTGCTTTGAACATTACCCTAAACAAATCATTGATTTATTTCATTGAAATCATAAATAAAATCAATTCTTTTAAAACCTCATTTAAGAAGAATGGGTTCTCTTGTAAAAAAAAATTGACAAATCAAATTGTTGAGCCATTGAGATCATGCATGGGCTTTTTGGTGAGGTATATGCAAAGAGAATTTCCTGGCCAAAACTTTATTTAATTGATTTTGATTGGATGAAACACATCATGCATAATACTTTTTCACAGAATCAGAGTTCACAGGCCTAGGTAAATCATCTCCATCCATCCTAGTTAACAATAGAGCCCCTCCGGAGAATGCTTTCTTCACTACATATGGGCCTTCATAGTTTGGTGCCCACTTGTTTCGGTCTTCACTTGGTAGTGGTAAGATTTTTTTGAGTGCAAGATCCCCTTCTTTGAATTCTCTTGGTCGGACTTTCCGGTCATATGCTTTGACCATCCTTCTTTGGTATAGCTGGTGATG